GTCTGTCCGCGCGTTTGAGTTGCCCGCTTGCACTCTCGCCGTGAAGATCCTTCGGCTCCGAACGGTGCACCTCTCGGTGTCCGGTTTGACGTCAGACCCAGCCAGATATATTGATCAGTCCACCCCAAGGTGTGCAAATATGCACATGGAGTGCCTGGGACTTTGGGATTTGTTCCTGCACATCAAGACTGGTCCGTGAACACGCCTGCCGGAGCACACCGCCGAGCACGGCCTCGAGCACGGCGTCGAGCATGGTGCCCTGGTCTTAAGTGAAGCCAGCGGGACGAGTGCATGCAATGACCACAGCTTCCAGTGAACCCATCTGACCTCACCTGGAAGTCACAATTCACATAATTCACCAGGCATGTGTTGAGGGTAACGCCCCATGCTTTGACGATCGGCGTGAAAAACCGCTGCGCCGGCAGATCTTACGCTGAGGGGGGCATATTTTGACAGATCCAGTGGCAAAGGATTCATTTACTGTAAATGATAAAGCCTGGTTTTCTCGTTTCATAAGTTCGTTAGCCAAGACGTTTCCAAGCGTGATTGCGCCAGAGGAAACAGGCCACGGTGAATACGACATGTTGGCAAGTGGCCAGACAAGATAGAGCATGGTAGACATTACATGGCATGGTCTCTGAATGGTTGCATGATTTCGATCTTCTGATTAGGCAACAGCATCATGTTGCTTGCCAATTGTTTGATTGGGCAGCGTCATGCTACGATTCGCTGAAGAATGCACACTTCTTTCCTTCGTATTTTTGCAGCACCCTTTCCAATATCTAAAGCATGACAGCCTGATTCAATTGCTTTGGCAAGTTCAGGTACAGCGGCTCGAAACCTGTCGCTTTCGCCGCAGCTGCAAGAAACGGCTTCGATCGGCTCGGGCCGATCGAAGCTGCGGAGTAGATCCAACTCTGGAGGTCTAAGGCATGAACGCCTCCCACAGCGATCTGCCCTTGCAGGGTGAGACCATTTCATGTTGACCTTCCCAACATTCGAACGCCATCTCAACTAAAGTCGAACCACCAGCTGCTTCCAAGGGGTTACCAATGGGCAACCCTAAGCTACTTATAGGTCACCACTGGACACCCATGGGGAGCGCTATAGGTCCTTAGGTGTCAGACAACGTTCTGTGCGCCTCTGGCTTCGCCGGTTGGCACCACTGGCTGGCACCAATGCATGAAAAGCAGACTGAAGACGGTGACTGGCTTGTCCTTAGCTGATCTAGATACTTCACAGGTCGACCATGGCGTACTCCACCAGCCTCGATGACACGGAGCAGACGCTTCCGATGCGTCTCTTTCGACCGGACTCGCCAGACCCAGCGCACCCTGTCCAGACTGACCCGTTGAAGAGTCCCATGCGTAGCACTGAGTCGGAACCAATGTTGCGTAGCACTGAGCCGATGCATTGCCACCATGGTGCCGCCCATGTGTCCATCAATTTGGCCGGTTTTTTCGTTCAAACTCGGACCCTCTCAGTTCGGTTCAGAGTCGACGATCGGATCGCGTACGGAGATATCTTGGATGATTTTGGAACCCGTCGAAGACATGGGGCACGCTGCCTCCACTGCTGTGCCAGATGGCCATGGCGCCGACTCGTGCATCTCAAACCCGCCGTCGATCGATCTGCCGGGCCTCTCCCACTTCGAACTGGACGCGAGCGAGCGCCAGAGCTCCGGAACCGGCGGCCGGTGAGCTCCGGGCGAAGACCGACGCGGTTCGAGGCCGTCGCAGAGGCAGGTCGTGGGCCGAAGCGTCCTCGTCCTCGTCCGCGGTTCTCGGCCCTAAGAAACGGTGACGTCTCGCCGTGTCGCTGTTCCTTTCTTGGTGCTTCTGGGTGTTTTGAAGTCAAGCTACACCCAGCCAGTGCTGTGCTGTCGTTGGAAGAAGGAAGTGCAAAGAAACTTCTCCACTTAGCGTCAGATGGACTGGTCGCCAGCTTGAGACGCTTGGCCTTGACACAGCTCTGAGCTGGATGGATGTTTCTTGGAGGACCTTGAGCACCATTCTAGCCGCCGTTTTTGGGCTCTGCCAGTTCGCCTTCTTCATACCCATCTGGAAGATCCTTGAGGCCTTGTTTTTTCATGGTTTTTCTTTCGTGCCACATGCTGAAGCAATTGCTTTGACATGCAAACGGTGGTGGCAGCTTGGCAGGACGTGAGAATATCGAGGTTTTCTGGCGAGGCGAGCCAGCAGATCATGATAGTCATAGTCTACATGAGTCTACATGAGTCTATCACTCATTATTGAGAACCCAATTGAAAGCACCAAATATATAAAATATTAAGATTTTAGATCATCTCGACTTCAGCTTTGGGAATTCGGGTCACTCGGGTCACGACCGGGTCTGCCGCAGGTCGGGCCTCTAACCGTCACGAGGCGTGCGTTCCGGCGCGTTCGGGGCGTCGACGCGTCGACGGGGGTTCGGCAGGTCGACACGGTCCGTGCGGGGTCGACAGTTGACACGGTCCGTCAGTGGGGAAAGAACCGGGGGAGGAGGTGAAGACTGCCATGTTCATTCGATCGGGTTCATGCTAGAGCGCATTCCATGTCACTGTTTGGAAACGGCAACTTACTTCGTGCAACTTTCTTATACAGTGATTCTTAGGTTTTGAAACTCAAGAACGTTTCGAGTGAGAACGTTTCACGCCTTTGGAGAAACACTGTTTTTGTCAAGGTTTTGCCACATTGCATGAATATATGAATCTCACTGAATATCGTTGATGTTTTGGGTCATTTTTGAAGCTTATCAGCAAGAGAATTTGTGATGTATCTATATACTTGTTACCTGTTCACTTTGTCTTGGGTTTTCTTCCTGCTGAGCGAGTTGTTTCTTAAAAACATGTCCACTTTGGGCAGGAAGACATGGATTTGATGCCGTGCAGCGATGCATCTGCGTCGTGGAACCAAAATAGTCCAAGAAACCAGCTGGTCTTGGTGGTGCAGTGGTCTGATTTTCCGATGGATTTTGTCGCTGTTGCTGTTGCGCTGAAGGAATTTCGTCCATTCGAACAACAACTTTGCTCACGACTTGCTTCTTGGAACATCAACAGTGTTTGGAGTCAGGCAATCTAAATTGTGACTTGAATTGATGTATAATATATTGATGTGCTCTTAGATATGATATAACTACTCTTATCGCAGTCGGTTTGTTACATTGAACACCGCAACATTTGGCTTTGAGTATAGCTATAATACTGCGACTGAGTCTACACGGTACATCACAGTTGTGTGGCGGAATGTGGGGCTTGTTCCCTTGAGTGCTTTGTGAAAAGGATGACAGCGTGTTCACTCTGCAGGATTCTGACATGACATGCCACACTGACAGAGAGTATTTGGCGAAACTGTTTGTCTCAGACAGTCTCAGATAGATCTGTTCATCCTATGTTCCAGGAAGTCCTGAACTCTGATAAGATGACACGGAACATGTGAACATGCGATGATGGAGCGCTGGTTTTCACTCGACCCCATGTTTCATGGCCCTGGGGCCCTGTGGCCTGACAGCCCAGCCACTTGGCCACCGGATGGTTAAAGATCACATTGAAACTTCCCTAAGAACCTGGGCCCTCAAACCCATACCAACACCTTCCAAGGCATTGCCAATGGGAGCCCCTACACTGCCTATAGAATTCTCTGTATAAAGACATCTTGGGGGTTGTGCCATCGAGCTCTGAAACCAATGTGTGGACTCGATGTTTGAAAACGGTGAGATCGTGGTCTCATCTTCCCGAGACCTGGGAAGATCAGATCCATCAGATCCATGGTGGTCCAATCTTGCCATCAGTGTTAGCCTTGAAGACTTGCGGAGGCACTTCTTCCTCACAGGTATCCAATGTGTCGGTTCACGCAATCAGACTTGATTGAGGCTTGCCAAATTCTGTGTAACAGGCAGAAGAATTGATTTTTTCACAGCCGAATCATTGGAGAGATCCTTTTTTACATGCTCATCAGGCTTATGACTTTGTTTCCTTGCTGAACATCCCTACGAAGCCCGCGCATGTCCGCGCATGTGAGCGCGCGAAGGTGTATACGTCCGAGGTGTTTGTCTGCCCGAGGCGTCTGTCTGTCGTCTCCCGTTTTGGATGGCAAGGATGAGCGTTTCACATGGGTTCGCACTTCAGAATTTGAAAACCTCGAGTAGTGTTTTTTGTACGATCAAATCCAAAATGAGGATAAATGAGGTCTCCGAAGAAATCGGGATGGATGAGGGTTTGGATGCCCCATCTTCCGTTCTGATTGTTATAGGGTGATTGGATCAGTGCCTGCGAAAACCTAACCGTTCAGTCTTGTCGTGAAGTTGGTTAGTCTCGTACTTTGGATAACAGAGGCCTGACTTGAACCACAATGTCATGTGACTATTTTCGCCCAGCAGCAAGTAAGTATGCAAGTGCATTGCAATTGCATCGGCTCCAGGCTTTTGGACGCTGCCGCAGAGGCTGGGAAAGTGGTTCCAGCAATGATGAAAGCAACTCATGAAAGATGGAGAAGCCCGCGTTTTTTGGATTCCTTGCCTAGAAGCCAGAAGCCCCTGTGTGAACCTGTGAGCCATGCATTTGGTCAGATGAGTCAGAGGCTGCGGACCCTTTGCGGTCCATAGGGGACCTCTGTGAGACTCGACAGGCAAACGTGAGCACGTGACCACGTTCTTAGCACGTTCGCCCAACTTTCTTCGCTGATTTCTCCTGTGACTTGCACCAGAGGCTGAAGGGCCTGAAGAAGACCCATTGTGTTCTGCCTGTTCTGCCCAACATATGGGACAGACTGGTCGTTGGCAGTCTTTGCTTTGGTGCCCAATCTTGTGGCAGCTGCCACAGGCGCCACCATTGTTGTCTCATATATTATCCCAGTTGGGTATACCCCAGGTGTGTTACCCCTCAACTGTTCCGGGGCCGAGGTTTGGAGATCTTGCAGGGACCTCCGTGACGACCTCCGCAGCGTTTTGGTTCGGGATCGCACGGTCCAACGGTTGGAGGCGCGCGCCGAACTTGGGGAGCCATGGAGCGCCTGCCGCAGAGCGACTCGGAGGACCCCACGCGGGCGCGCCCCGCCGTGCCGAGGCCGGGGGGCGGAGCGCCGGGGCGGACGGGACACACAGGTGACAGGTGCGACTCACTGAGCCTTTTGGAGGGCGAGGGTGAAGCCATAGCCCTGGATGTCATGGGCTTGGAGGGTAGAACTTCCGGATCCTGTTGGCCGTTTTGGGCATGTGCGGCAGTGTTAAAAGTTCTCTTCAAGTCGTGAGAAGGCAACCATATATATGGCACACTGGGCACGGCAAAGCCTTCTTTCTTGGCACCCTGACATAGAACTGATCAGAGGATGTTGGCATATGTTTGCCGCCTTCAGCATTGATTGGCGGTGTTTTATTGCAGTTTTCTTTTAAAGGTGTTTGAGTTGGCTTCATAGTCTAAAGTCCTCAGATGTCCTCAGTAAAACGCTGGTGATCAATGGGGGGTATCAATTCCTTTTTGACTTCCAGCATCCAACGCAGGCGCTCGTGACATAGTCGCAGGCTTCTCCATCCACCATCTGAGACCATCAACCAAACCCGCAGCGACGGATTCGGAGCCATCGATGTGCTGAAAAACGGCCCGTTTCTTCCGGGGCTTTCTGCCACTCAGCTCCTGCAGTGATGGATCAACCATGAACAATCCCTAACAATCCATGGAATATTTGAGTTACCCTACAGGTCAATGACCTCATTTTACTGGAGTTGGTCATACAAAAACACCTTTCGTTCGCAAGAAAACGACCTGGTTTTACTGGGTCGTTGGACTTGTAGGGTTATATACAGGTTTCTTTGAAATGCTCCAAGGGTCAATGTAACTATTCCATGCATGTACCATGGATGCTTCAGAAATCTTTGGATCTCCAACGCCCACACCTTCTCCGTCGTCGCCGCTTCGCGGCATCCTCCAGGAGAACGTAGAACGAAGAAAACGCCGCAGGTTTGCAGCGCTGCTGCTGATCCCGGCGCTGCTGCTTTTTGCTTTGCTGCTGGTCAGGCCGGAGCCATCCAAGCTGCGTGAAGGAGTGCCCTCGGATGAGAATTTTAGCGGATTGCAGCCACAGGGTGCTTTTTCCCCAAAAGGGTTCTAAGGGTCGTGGTTTTTGGCCGGGTGTTTGATCGGTGGTGCTCGCATCCGTCGGCGGCTAATTCGCTGCTATTTACGGTAAATTATTTCACCTCGAGATCTTCGAAGTGCATTTCGACTATACGTAGGCTTGCAGAAACTGCTGGGCCGGAGCGGATGCTTTCCGCGACTGCGCGCTCGTTGTGGTGCCGTGCACATTTTCGGGCTTGGTGGCCGCTTTTCGTGGCAGGGCAAGGGAAACCTAGATCTTGACCTCTAGACCTTGAGCCTGTAGGTTTTCTAGGAGCTCTAGGCCGTAGATCCCACATAGACCTAGAGGCTTGGAGGTCCTGGAGCTCTGGGTCTAGAGGCCTAGAGGCCTAGAACATAGAGGTCTAGAGTTGAGGGCTCTAGGTCTCTAGGTCATTCTGCAAGCCTAGAAAGCCCAGGAAATCTCAAGATCCAGACTCAGAAACATCTTTCGATCTTGAAAGAGTCTAAATCTCTAGACCTCTGGACAAGTAGATCTCTCTGGAAGCCAATACGTCTCTGCCTTAGACCTCTGGACACACTGTTTGATCTGTTTGGTGTGTTGCCAGGATAATGTTTCATCAAGGTTTTCTTTCGGGTGAGTTTCGTATTATTGTTTAATGTTTCGTTTCTGGTGCTTTTCGGCCAATGAATTAGACGCTCTGTGCCATCAACCTCCAACAGGTCTCTGAAATGGTGGCTGAAATGGGGACTAATGAGCAGTGACAGGTGGTTTATCTGGTGCAGTCAGGGTGCTCAAGATCATGAAACACTATATATATATATATTAATAATACATGTATAGATTTCATTTGCCACATAAAAACCAATCCAATTATAAAATATATTGTTTTAGACTCCCAGGGTGGGTATATATACAAATATCTATATATAAATATGATGTGCTTTTGACCAATGTTTCTCATGCATAGCATGGTAGATGATGCTGTGCCGCGGTCCACTGAGGTGCCAGTGGAAGCCTCGGCTCTCTGGAAGCGTGGCGCGCCTCCTGGCGGCCCTGGCAAGGCAGAACCATTGACGGGAAGGGATTGAAAGAAGTTGGAATCACAGAACATCATGAATCACATTATTGCCAAGTTCATTCGCATAAATATAAGTTGTTAGTTGCTCGAAAGTCCCAACTTTAAAACGTGGATCGTTTGGATGATTGTGTTCTGCAAATATTACATAAGGGTTCTTCAGCATTTTCTAGCTGCACTCTCCAGTCAGACTGGTCGGATTCTTAGTGGTCTTCACCTTCCAAAAGGATGACAACTAGATCCACCTATGGGGCCTGGAACTACTGCACATGGGCAGTTGATTTGCCGAAATCACAGCGATGTTCACTTGCGGGTACATCCTGAACATTTGCGGATGCCTCCACCAAACCCGATTCCAAAGGCATCAGACAGAAGTGGAAAAAAAGCATGGAGCGGCGAGATCCATCAAGGGATTACCCACAGAAACTCTGTTGGGACCCCCTGATTTCAGGCCAATTGCAGTAGTCCTTGACCTGTCACATCCGACTCAAACGAGATCCACAGAACACAGGTCTCAATCCCAGTCCTTCGACCTCCAGAACCACCCTTGATGCCTTCGCATCCGACGACGAACGCGAAGATGAAACAAAAACGCAGAACTCGGCTCTTTCCTTTCGCCGGGTTCCGGCGCCGGGTTCGTTTTGGGCTCCTGCCCAAAACGCAACTCTTTGATTAAACAAGAAACCAGGCACCTGCGGGTTCCGGCGCCGGGTTCTTTCTTGGAGAGAACGGTTCTTCACGACGCTCCAAGCTGCCCAGAACGGTTGATACGCGCCGCGCCCGCCGGTGAGGCGCCTCGGAAGCCCAAGGTGCGGAAGCCCAAGAAGCCGCAGCCTCAGGAGACCTGGGGGACGGACAGGATGGGTTTCAGGAAATTCCTGAACTTATGATGGGATCACCTATAGTCTATATAGTCTATAGTATATTATAGCTAAGTCAGTCCATGCTAACAAAAACAAAGAGTCAGTCCATGCTGAAAAAAACAAGAGGCGAAGTATACACCTTTTTTCTTCTTTCGACCTTCTTTGATGTTATTTTAGCCCAGCAAGTCCAGTTAGGACAGACTATTCACTGCATGAGGGTTTTCACCACGCATTTCACCTCCCAACTTCCGGTGGACCATTTTAAACAGCTGTTTCGCCGCCCAGCTCAGCCTGTTTTTGGCCGGCCTTTTTCAAGCTTCCATGGTCCCATTTAGCCAACGGGACCGGTCTTCTGCTCCGTGGCACCCCGCACTGTCGAAACAGTCATCCCGAAACAGTCATCATCCGTGGCGCCGCGTGACCAGCTGGCCCCAGGGCATCCCAGGGCATCCAGGCAGTTCCGTCGCTGGGAACCTCCAGTTCGACGAACACCAGTTCGACCCGTTGACCCGTTCCACCGTTCCGTTCCTCCGACGTACTCGTGGGTGGGAGGTGGTTTGCCTGCGATGCACCGAGCGGGCAATGACTCCTCAGACCCGCTCGGACCTCCTCACTGCTTCGAAAACCACATCCAGTCGTGTGAGACGAAAACCCCGGTGATCGAAGGCAACGAAGATTCGGTGGATGCTCGCACGAAGGTTGCGGCGCACGAATTTCGCGCATGTCACGCGCATGTCACGCCGCTGGAGGTCGCCCCAAGAGGTTTGACCCGAAAGTGCTAGTTCGAGGTGACCTGAAAGCAAGCTGAAAGGCTGAAAGCGCACCGTCCAAGACTATGAGCTCGAGCAGCACAAGCCTCTCCCAATGCTGGCCACTTTACGGTCACAACAGCCAGGGGGCTTGCTTGGCGTTGTCAACGAACCGAGCATGCGTCTAAACTTCCCAAAAGGGTAACCCTCGACGTGGGCATCGTTTGAAACATCGTCTGAAGCACTTCGAACAGACACGCATGTTACATGAAAGCAACCTCCCTCGAGTTCTGAAAAAAGACTCCACGAGTTCTGAGAAACCCCATCTTCTTTTCTCAGAACCCCATGAGCCACCGACCGACCGACGCCCCCCGAGTCCTGCGCCAGGAGCCACCGATGGGCGGCTCTTCGGAGTCGGGCTCCGAGCCGCCCGCGGAGCCCACTGAGGTGCGAGCCAAACGGTGGAACACCGGCGGGGGGACGTGGCCATGGGTTGGAGTAAGTATATATACATGCTTGGCATGTGACGTGTGAAAGGCGGTGTACGTTTCCGTTTTGGGGCTCGCGAGCGATTCAGAGGCGCAGAGTGCAACCATGAAGGAATAGAGATGTGGAGTCTAGCATCATGATCATATTTGGTGTTTTATTGGGTGTCGAGGTGTAGTAGAGCACCCTGCGATGCAGGTGGAGGTGACTTGGAACACGATCAGTGGTATCTTGGACTGATTGGATGATGCCTGGCTTCCAGCCCAGCTGAGAACAGCGGTTTTTTGAAGCAGTACCTGCAAATCCGCCAAGTAGTGTAGGGGTATGTAGGGGTGGTCTATGGGACAGTGAAGTGTATGAGAGCAGCGACCGGCCCCAACCTCGATGCAACCACTCTTGGCTGTCTGTCTACAGGCCCCAAATTGCATTTTCTGAATTGAAGATCACAAGAATCCTAGCCCTAGCTAAAGAGATCATGTTTTTGTGAAGCCAGTTCCTTTGTGCCAGTGCTAGCTAGCCGGCAGGTGGTCCTGCACCTCACATTGAGGAGACTCCCATATCAAGCTGAGAGTCCAGTCATGACTCATGACCCACCGTGGTAGTGGGGGATACTAGATACCTGACTTCCAGGTGGGCTAGTTCATGAGTCAAGTCACGTCCATCCACCCCCCGTCCCGTCTTGGAAACGGAGGGGGGCGGCCAGGAGCCTATAGGGTATGATATTGCAGCCAATATCAGCACTTCAATCCAGGACGAAAAAAGCGATAGGATATGATAGGATACATGCTTGGATTCCTATCGCCCACCATGAGTTTCATATGCATGCATATACCGACTGTGTTCTACAATAAGGCGGGTTTACATAGTTGTACACTACAAAACCAGGTCAAGTTAAATTTTAAGAATGGTCGAACGGAAGTCTAGGGATACATGCTTTAAGAACCCCCCCTGGGTGCGTCTCCGCTGGACCAAATGACACCACTTCAAGAGGTGCAACATTCAGTTCCACGCATCCATAATTGCAGGGCAGGGCGAAGGGCGAATTGGGGCCAGCCCGAACATTCCTGCCCAGAGGCGACCCTGGACCCGAACCAACTGCTACATGTTTGAGGTCCATTTCACCCTGGCTGTGAGGGTCAAAACCCTAGCTGAGCCTTTGGGTGGGTTGGAGGTGTTGGCCAGTTAGATCTTCCCTTCAGAACTTCTCAATTCACTTCAACTTGCCGAGACAACGACCCGGCCTGCGACAGTGTCCAGTTCCTAGTGAAAACAGATATTGTTGGACCGGCGGACTGAGCCGCAGATCAGGTCTGAGGAAACCCAGGTGTGAGACCCTGGACATTCCCGGCGGTCGCTGCGCACGTGATCTTCCAACACCGAGAGCCACAGCTGTTTGTTTTGGTCCCGGAAGGCAAACCGATCCCGTTCAAGCACAAGCCGCGCGTGCGTCGCGAGTGGCGCACGCTGAGCTTGGAGATGACGCCCGGCTCCGTCTGGGGAGTTCGATTTCGGGGAGATCGATCTTGCGCGAATCAGGGGGGAAAACAGAATCCAAGACACTCCATGTGACCGCCATAGATATGCTTACATTGAGCCCCACAAACCACGCTAATGTAGGCAAATATGCCATACGTGTCTGGGTTAAAGATATCCATGCAGTTCCATGATGTTCCGAGTTCCAAGTTGGGAGCGAAGGCTGACAGGGTGCCCATCAAATCTATCCATGGCGTCCTGGATGAGACTCAAAGCTATCCAATAACCAATGGGTTTCAGAGCTTCTCTGGCACAAACACCGTGGATGTCTTCTAGATGGGGGTCCATATTGATCCATATTGTATATGAACCGGCTGTGTATTTGTTGATTCTGCGTGACGTCTGACAGGTCATGTCCCGTCTGACGTCAAAACCCGGTCCCGGTCTGAGCTCAGAGTTGATCAACTCGAAATGAGCAACCCTCTTTCTGACCCGGGCCAGGCGGCTAGATCGAACCCTCTGTCTTCAACCTCTTCTCTCCCACAACTCGTCCGATTCTCAATCGACTGGTCTCCTCTGGTACCCATCCACGTCCGGACCCCACTGGATGGTCAGGAAGAACAAGGTGGCGCGAGCCTTCTGGCAGGTAAAGACGTGCTTGGGCCGCAGTGGATGTCGCGGTCGTCGCGGTCGCACTCGTACCTTTGGTGGGACCCAAGGCATTCGGCCCGTGAGAAGACCGGGTTGTTCGGCTTTCTTCGGTAAATGAGCAAACATGACTATAACATAATTTTAGAGTGCAGGGGACTGTGAGAGTGCAGTTTTCTTGGCTTCATTTGTTGCTGAAAGTCTATGGCTCACTTAGACAAAGAACAAAAGAACATTCAGGCCTTAATACAGAAACATGGAAATACACATTCTGGTGGTCCCCATCTTTTTAAAAGTTTAAATACGTCATTATACGCGCCTTTATATTTTATGTTATTAAGTGTTCATCATAGATTGGGTTCTTTGTTGACAACGTCTTTAGGGAGCATAGGGCCAAGCACGATGAATTGACCAAGAATTTAGACACCAAAAATCCATTACGCCCTTTGAACCAACAAAAGGTACCGTATGTAAGTACCCAGTTTGGCACTCCGGGGTTTTCTCGGTATTCGACCGGTGCCTCGGCAGAAAAACAACTCACACTGGCCAGGGTGAAGACACTGGAGGGTCGCAAGATCTACGGGAAGCATTTCAACAATCACGAGTCTCGGAGAGAAAGACGGGAAGGGAAGGGGGAAGGTACCGTATACCCAGCGAGAAAAGCAAGGTCTATAGATGTTCAACGGCCCCGCCCCTGTTCTTCTTGAGCGAAAGAACAAGGGCTGAAGAAGAGACGACTTGGAGCCATCCAAGGTCTACAATGCATTCGATGACCATGTTTGATAGGTCTACAGTTTGAAAATGCTTGAAACATGCAAAGAAATCATCGATACTTCGTGGTGCGCACGGCCTCATATCTCAACACACAGGGCAATTGCCTCAGCGTCTCTCATCTCTTGGGACAGGTCTGCACCGTCTTTCCAAGCCGTTGCTCTGGACATGCAACGACCCATCGATACGACCCAGAAACACCCTAGGCCCTTGTGGACCCTGCTGGTCTCGCCGCAGGGTACTTAGCAGCTTAGAAGGCCGGAGTACTTCTTCATGCAGCGAGGGCCGAAGAAGACAAGTAGGGGGGGTTCGTGATGTTCGTAGCTTCTCTTCGAGGGAGAAGGACGGTGAGTGACTGGGGAACTCACGAGGAGGCCCAATAGGCCTCGTGATTTGCTCTTAGAGTCTTAGACGTTCTTCCACGTATAAATCCCAGACACCCAGACACTATGCCGGCATATATAGATCAGGCCAGGGGTGGTTGACTGGGGGTATATGCCATATATGGCAGTCCCATCAGTCGTGTCTGGGAGCGGCCTCCAACCCCGGTGGTTCCGTCGAGACTCCTCGTTCGGGTGGCTCCAAGACCGTTCGGTCGAACCTTGCCGCTCGGTACGTCGAAGCTTGTACTGCATGGACCCGACCTTGGCATACAGTGTCTCCTCACAGTGAGAAGGTATATACTTGGATCCCGAACTGGGGAACTGAAGAAGAATGACACGTCGTATCCTGCACAGAATCCCAATACCAGGCGATCCACTCCCTTCCAGTCCCTTCCCGCGAAACCGAAACCGTCGACCGTGCCCAGGATGATATGCTGATCTTACATTCCTGCGCGACCACTGATCCTCGCTGCCGCTCGGGTGTCAGGAAGAGATCTGAATCTGCCGCGGCTCAAAGAGAACAGAGAAACTTGGAATTTGGGGAGAGAGATCGACATGGACGATGCCCCGGGAGTCCAGTCGACTATCAAAAGATGAGACCATGGACGGAGACCCGAGTCAAGGAATTGCCTTTCGGTCAAAGTGTCCAACTGGACTTCGGGATGGAACTTCAAGGGGTGTCCTGGCTACTAGACTACCCTACCCTACGCTACTTACATCTCCTACTCCAGGGCACCCTTCGAAGTGCTAGGTAGATGGGGTATGATGGGAAAGTCTTCGCTACGAAACAGCTTGGATCGCCCCTTCGCGTCCTGTCCGCGCGCAAGCGTTTGCGCTCGAACTGGGAAGATTCGAGATTTGCGCCAAAGGCTGTTCCCGCCGTTCGATCCATGGGTTCGTTCGAGGTCCAAAGCAACAAATTCAACCTCCCAACAAGAGTCAAGCACATGTCAAGCACCTGGTGGCTATATTTTGGGAGTGCTCCAAAACCCCGGGGCCTTTCGAACTCTGTTCATTTTTCCTGATTTGGTGGTTGGTGGGTTTTGGGGCGAGAAGCGACCCGCCCCAGGTGATGAGGGACACTTCGGCCCGCAGTTTATGACCTTCCATCGTGCGCTCCTGCTGAAGTGCCCCGCGATCGACGCGGCACCGAGTGGAGAGATGCGTCCCCAGTGGGGGAACGTGGGGGACGAGATGTGGGGAGGATCCGTGACCCAGAGACGATGGAAAACATCATGGCAGCTTCACCGTCGACACGACTGATGGGACTGGTGGGTTTGGGGGTTGTGGCATACATGGAGTGTCTGTTTAATCGACAGCACATCTTAGAGATGGTCGTGAGTGGATGTCATCCATGGAGTGCTAGGGTGACCTCACCTGCGACAGATCTGCAGTGACCCTATTATACTATAGCAAAACTGTCGACCCTATACAATGCTTCCAACCACCATTGTTTTTTATAGCCTAGACTTCCGTTCGACCATGAAAACATGGCAACGATCTGGTTTTTGTAGTGTAAAATCCTCAGTTGATTCGCGATGACCAGCCTATTCAAGTCGTCATGGTTGGCTTCCGGAAGCCTAGGGATAGCCTGAATCCCTCCACGCGAATCCATGTCGGTCGTGTCCCCCTCGTGTGCATCGTCCCCCTCGTCTCCTCCAGCGGTGCGATGTTCGAGTTCAGCCAGCGGCCAACATCCATCAGACAATACATCGTGTATGATACTTAATCCCTACAAGTCCAACGACCCAGGTCCAAACCAGGTCGTTTGCTTGCGAAAGAATGGTGTTTTTGTATTACTGTAGGGAATATACACTATACACCCATACTCATGCAGACACTCCATGGGACTGCCATATATGCCGATCAGTTGGGGTGGTTTGAGGGGTCAATGTAGGCATATATGGCGTCTTACATGGAGTGTCTGAGATATACACCTTATAGGACTTGAACAATCATTGTTTTAATGGTCTGAATCCATAGATTGAAATGTTCTCTATGGAATCAGGTAACCGGGGTACTAAGAATGACAATTTTACAATAACAATGTCTCTCTATGGAATTGAGCAACTGAGGGTTCCAGAGTCTAAGATAAGCAGCTTTTCATTCATGACCTTCTGTTGGTTCGAACTTTCTGAAATGGGATGTCAGATTTTATAGAGATCTGTGAGGAAGGTATAACTATCCGTCAGTTTTTGCATGGTCACATGGAGTTGTGTTATTTTTTAGCAGTGATTTTGCTGCTGTCGGAGAGGTTGTTTCTTTTTGCCTCTGGGCTCAATGAAAACTGTTATAATGGAAACATAAAACTACAAAACTAGATGAGCATAGACGAAGCAAGCAACAGACGTATATCTCTAAAAGCAAGGACGGATCTTAAAAGGATGTTGTCGGAAAGTTTGTCGGAAACACCTTTGTCACTATAGAATCGAGGGGATTCTGATAACTTATATTCGTCTCTGAGATGGGGGTTGTGATCTTTACGTCTCGATCCAGAATTTTCCGGTATAATTCTTAGGTTGTCATTCCCGACTAAGGGTGTTAGATGTTATAGTCTTGTGGTTTCGCCGGGACTCAGATTTTAGGATTTATAAGGACCATGGGGGGAGCCGTTTGAGAACCTAGGACCATGGGGTGTCTTAGTGACTGAGTGAACTTCAAAGGGGATGTTTTACTCAATTTGTGCGCAAAAAACACATCAAAAAACCACCAGATCCACCATTCTTGTAATGGTCGAACTGAAGACTACGGCTAGGGCTGCATCCGAAATCGGGGTCACCTAGCTGGACAAGTAGGGTCTCCGACACCCCAAACGGAAGCGTTCAGTATTATGAACGCGTTTCCTTGTAGAATGGCTCGACTTGCTTGGTTGAAGCCCCCTCTCAAGAGAGCAGCGATGCTCCATGACAACACCAGATGGTCACTGGTCCACACCCTGGACATGCAGACTCTGTAGACCAGCGAGACACGAAAGAAGGGAGGGTGCCCCCCGCCCTGACGAGGACCAGGAGCGTCCTGTGCGGTGGAGATCCTTTTCGCACAAGCAAAACATCCCCCAAAACTCCCCTCTTCAGCCAAGCAAAACATCATCCCAACAGAAAACCATCCGGATCTCAACACCGACTTCTCCAACTTCCACCCAACAAATATCCCACAATACCACATCTCGACCGACCTATATATTGTACATGACATGTATATGCCGACTATAGACGTAATACTGCCCTCGCACCGTGGTCGAACCGGAGGTACGAGCTGTCCTTGCTTTCGGTGGACCCGACCATCGAAGCCATGCCCTACTGGCGCCTCGCTTCGCGAAGCGCGAGAGGTTTCCCCGCAGGATCTGGAAGTGTTGGAAGCCGCCCGAAAACGAGGAACGCTTGACCTGGAATAGCTGACCGGACATGACCGGACCCTTCCAAACATCTGAACTTCACCAGCTTCAAACCATCAGACAACCATCTATATAGCCCATGGTATGAAGTATACAGGTCACCTGGTCGTACCGCTCTGCCAGCGGCCCTTTCTTCTGGACCGCCAAACGGGTCCGTCGGCGGAAGAGGGCGGAAGGGAGCGAGACGTGTGGACGGTAAAAGCTTTATACGGTTGGAGGAGGCCATCGCCATAGTAGGTTGGAGGCCATAGCCAGTAGGTTAGAGGCCATAGCTAGTAGGTTGGAGCCTTTCAGAGTAGATGGCACAATCCTCAATGCCGGTGGTTTATGTGGACCCCATCTAGAAGACATCTTTGGGTGCCAGTCCCATCTATACTCTGAAACCACCAAAGGGACTCGATTATAGCCATATCCCATTTGGAACTCCTGGAAAACCCATCCGGAGTTCAAAACAGTTGGACTTGCTTTCGAAGATCGACCGGAAGTCATTTCCAGAAACACAGGCGCATGTTGGAGGGTGGAAGCTACTGCAATTCTTGGAGAACCGCTCAAAAAACGGTTCAAGGTGTACCTGACAGTTGTGACAGTCGTGACAGTCCTTTTTCTGAGGAACATGGCCTATGATGCCAAAGATGGCAAGTATCGCCACGACCCAGATCCTCGGCTCTTTTTCTTCAGCAGTGTCGCAGAATGAGGGCTTTTCTTCCGGTGAGGTCCAACTTGAGTGTGAAAACCACCCAAAAACACGGTCGTGTAGACGCACTGATCCTGGTGGTCCATTTGCAGGTTGGAGGTTCAATGGACACCTTCGGTGTAGTGCAGATCACATGGTCCCCATGCTCCGGTCCTGCCTTGGACCGGTCCCCGTGGGGCGGATGGGTTTGGTCATAACTTGTCATCGTCTCCAAACCTCGAAGTTGAGGTTGGGTATTGAGAGTATTGAGGATGTCTGATGGACATTCACTATTTAGTTGAAGAAAGAGCCAGCAATCTGCAAAGCAAGGCAGCACAGACCCAGACCAAAGGAAAACAAGTCGACTGCAGGAGAAGTACATCTTCACCAACAACTATTTTGGCAACTACACTGGAACTGGTGCCAATTACATGGTGATCTTTGCCCGCAGGGAGCACGGTTGGATGATGATGATGATGATGATGATGATGATGATGATGATGATGATGTTGATGTTGTTGTTGTTGGCACCTATTCCCACATCACACAGGCAAGTACCCTCCATCCGTTCGATCACCCAAGTATGGGAGTGGAACATGGCCCCCTGCCAGCAGTTTCATGGAGGACAGGGTGCTATCCATGGAGGAAGTTGGGGTGCTCCTGTCACATAGACTCCCCTGTCGGTCCATGGTCCTACTTTGTAGGGTCCACTTCGGCTGAGGACTTACTTTGTAAGGTCCCAGGACTTCCAGGGCTCACTGGATGTGACCAGCCACACCACCCCGAGCTTTCCATGTGACTCCTAGTGTTTTCCTCTACTAGCGGGCCCGGTTGGTTGGAGCCTCTTTGGAGCTGAACTCGCGGTGAAGTCGGTTCGTCAATGTCAACCCCCGAAGGACACATGGGCTGCGCCACGTGGTGCGGGTGTCTTGCGCTCTCCCGCATCTCCTTTCGATGAGATCCGTGATCGCCACAAATGTCAGAATCGCTTAGACAGATGATTGGAACAACACGTGAAACCCATCATGTTCCGGGGTGAAAACCCTCCTGAACATTCCACATATATGTCACATGGTCACCTCGATTCCCGCCTTTTGGAATCCATTCGATTCCGCTTTTGATTCCCGCTTCGAAACGACGGAGAGACGACGCCGGGGGGAGGCGACGGTCTCTCCACAGGATCGATGGTCTCTTCGCCAATTTTCCCGTCACGGAGTCCCTGGACGCGCGGCGGTCGGGGGGTTCGAAAGGCCGAGTGAGTGTTAGCGGAGGGTTCGAAGCGGCGAGGTCTCAAAGATGCCGGAGTCGGTTTTGTGTGAATTTACTGTTTTTTCTAGATATTTGCAAGTTGAAGCGAAGAATCTTGGGAGCAGTGATTTCCTCCGGCGGCAGGCGTATATACATGTGCAGGCAAAAGTTAAAGACAATGTCTTTACTTTTATTATAGTTGTATTATATTGCTACCCTGCCTTTGGGGGAAGGCTCTGCGGCGGTCTGCAGAAAGTTGTCCCTTTTTCCCAAACGCAAGCGAACTCTGTTGGTTGGAAAGGGACATACTAATCTAGGTTGTATGGTGGCAACCCATAAAGGTCTTGATGTCACCTCTGTGCAGTCTCGCTCAGCAGATGCAAAACAGCTGAACGCAAGAAGCACCAACACCTCGTGCAAAACACAAAAACATGAGTTTCTTAGAGTGTGTGGATGTGATGAGTCCAAGGGAGTTTGTCCACATGCAAGACTGACGTTCGTACAGGCAAGAAGCAACCAAGCCATTTCCAGGCTTGCCAGTGCAGTTCGCAATGGAACAGTTGTGGATTTGGAAAGGTTACGCCAATATTTTGTCAACAAGCTATTTATACAGCGTTCCATTCGGATTGACATGCAGCAAGCCGATGTAAATCAATCAAACCCCACACTGTTTTTGGAACCAGCGTTCCATGTTTTTTTTGCACTATATGGCAAAGCGGCAAATGGGTCTACTATTTTTGGGTGAAACATCTTGTTTGGCAAAGGAGCGCTCCATTGGGATGGAGCGCTCCCGGGCGTGACGGTTGACTGGGAGATGACTAGTGACTTCGACTGGGTTTCCAGCGTGTGCCATGGTGATTTGGCATAGTCCCCAGAGTGGCTAAGGGATGGTGACGTCATGGGATGACTTGGCCAGGTTCCTGCTATCTCATACCCTCCTGAAGACTCGTGCTCCGGTGCGGGTACCGCGCGATCGGAAGCGTGCGCGTTCGACGGATCAGTGCGATCCGCCTGGAGCCTCTAAGGTGGACTTCCGAACGATTCGGGAATAAGAGCTACATGGCCAAGGACAACAAGTGCACCCTGATCATAGAAGTCATGGGGTTTCCCTGGGTGTCCTTTCGGGAGGGAGCTGAGTTTGAAGGTGGTGGAAAGATGATGGTTGGAATGCACCGCCGTACTGTTAGAAACTCCGCTTCCAGTACCACCCAGGTTGGATGGTGCATGGATGTGCATGGGAATCAGTGGTCCATAAATCAACATCGGCACATGTGCCCCGAAGCGTCCAGCTCCTTCATACCGCAGAGGCTTATGGACCCCCCTCAAACTGCTGCCTATGCATCTAACCCGAGTTCTGAGGGGCGAATGGGCTTGCTTTGATCCAGACTCTGATCCTCCTCACCGCCTCCTGGGCTCCTTGAGGTATTCGCGAAGAGTGGTTCAAAGGCACCAAGCCTTCCGTGTGCGACCGCTGCTGTGTGACGCACTGCAGCGACTGCCGCGACACGAGTCCCGACGTCTACACCACCCGGCTGCGGCTCCACGACGATTGTTCGCCCTACGTGGCCCGTTGGCCGATGGACCCGGATGCGCTGGGGCCCCTGGGGGGGACCTATGACCTCGTGTACTCCGAGGAGCGGCAGAGCGCCGCAGGGCTGGCAGGTGGCGGGCGGCAGCAATTCCGGGAAGAAGCTGGCTGGACAAATCCGCTTAAGCTTCGAATCGCGGAAGCCCCGAGAGAAAGTCATAGGATGTCATATATAGGTCTTTGTCAAAATATTGGATGTCTGTTGTTCTCAGCTCAAGGTTCATTCCTGGTGTCAGTTTCGGGATGCGGCTCAACAGTTTCACCAGGTTGCTGTTCCAAAGGGCACGGCAACTTTGTGTCGCTTTGCCTCAGTTGAACTTGCGATTGTCTCCACACAACTTTTTATTGCAATGAGAAAGACTTATATTATACCCGTCTCCATCCATGTCACAATGTGCAGTGTGCAGTTATGTCAGATCGAACATCTCCAATTCTTCCTTTATGAGTCGATGATGCACGGGCAACTGCAAACTAACATGGCAGGCAGGTAGTCTTGGACTTGTCTTGCATCCCATGTTTAATGATATAATACTATAGCTCAGTTTCCACCTACACATTTGCCCGGTGATCTCTTCCAGCTGTAATCGTTTTCGCGAAAACTCGTCCCGGTGCCTCGTGCCGGAAAATAACACAATAAAAACAAAAACCAGGAGTCACAAAGGGGTGGTGTTTAGTCCCTAAGTGAGTGGAGTAGCTGGGCACCCCTACCATCCATGGATCGCACCCCTTTGTGACTGCTGGAACAGTCCTCACTTCTGAAAACCGCAGCAGTTGCGCCGACCAACGGCTCGACGCTGCAGTGGCGCAACGTGAAACACGGACGCCTTCAGGAGGATTTCGCGGCGTGTCATGATGTGAAAGTGGTCCGATCCTGGATGGAATGGCAGGACTGTATCGAGTGTCTTGGAACCTGTTTTAGAAGGAGAAGGTTGGTTGCTTGCTTGCCGATTTCGATACCTCGACGCGTCGAAGTCGCTGCTTCGAAGCGGCTGCGGTATTGAGTTCACCGGACTGCAAAGGGTTTTTCGGTGAAAGAGACGTGGACTGGCACCGGGGTGTCGTGAGTCACGTTGGGTGAAGAAATACGAGGGCAGGAAAGCATTCCTGCCACGTTTGACCTCCGAAAACGAAACGCTTTTTCATGGATCACCAGAAAGTCCATTGGAAATCCCACAACTTTGAGGGTTTGGATGTTTGACATACAGTCCATGTACAGCTTTGACTTTCGCAGTCCTTTTCACATGTTTCACCATTTCAGTGCCTTGTTCTCCAAGGATGAGCACCTTCATGTGTGGCCACCGCTTTGGAATTGTCAGCGGCCAACCAGGCTTTGAGACCGTCTTCAAAAAGCGGGTCCTGCCGGAGCGGCTCCGCGTTTGAACGCACCGCGCGACAACCGCGAGACGCGTCGCGGGCGGCAAACGCGAGGGACGTCAAGGACTTTGGAGACACCAAGGCCAAGAGATGTCTTTTTCTTTTCTCTGTCTCTGTCTCTCTCTCTCTCTCTCTGTCTCTCCCTCTCTCTCTCTGTGCAACATACATAGCACAGTTCAACATAGAGCAGCATCTTGCCGAAGCTGTCCTTTCCGACCTTCCCAATATATTCATTCGGAAGACATGTCGAAACCAGCAACACCCAGGGACCCAAAGTCCGTTGAAAGCTTCTGGTCGCCCCAACACTAAAACGAAGGATTTCCACATATTTCCACCTCCAACATACTGTAACTGCCAAAGCGTCCTAAACATCCCCCAACTTCCCTGGCCACACTGGTGAGATCCGGTTTCTGGAACTTCCACAAAAAGCCATTATAGATGCTTGCCCATGACCCATTTACATGACCCATTCATTATTACATTGGGGTGTTTGCATGTCTGGAATCGTTTAAAGAAAGGTGGATCCCCTGTGGAATTTCCAGGAAACAATCTTTAACTTAAACACATCAATCAGATTGATCAGCGTGCAGCTAAGAAAGAACTTTGGTTCACAGTGTTCATGATAGGATTGATGCAGTGGCGCCGGTGAATCCTGGCTTGGGCGATGCCTTGGCAAACTGCGAGCTTCAGCGCTGACGTCTGTGAGGCATTTGCAGGGCAGACATCAATCACAGTGAGCAGCGTGCGCCACGCTGGCACCGGACTTTCTGAGCTCCGTTTGACGCCCCGTAGCTTCCTCGTGTGAGCACCGAAATATGAGACCAAACCAAACCAAAAACGCACCCTAGGCTTCCAACAACCATTCATTTAATAGGCTGAATACCCAATCAACTAAGGATTTTACACTACAAAAACCAGGTCGTTCCCATTGGTTTAATGGTCTTGGAAGTCTAGGGGCACCCAAACACCTGGAACACCCGGACCTCCTCGGTTTGGCCCTTCACGCCACAACCGGGACGGACGTCCACGCGAGCGCCGTCCGCGCGAGGAGATGAAGCAACGCATCCTGGCCACCGGGGACCCCAAGGCCTTCGAAGCACTTCGAAAGCTCGACGATGCCGCGCAGAAGACCGCCCCGTGGTCCGCAGATTCGATGGTTCGAACGTAATCTTCGGTGCGTCGACCGTATCGGGGTGTCGGTTCGAGTTCGCCGCCTTGATACATTTGTACTATAGACATCGATCTATAGACTAGCAGGAGGAGTAGGGTTGTTGCCAAGATGGCCATTTTTGTGATGGCAGGAACCTGCCTGGACCCAGCTAAACTGGTCGGTGCTGGTCGGACATCGAACCCGCCTCCGTCTTCTCTTTTTGGCAAAAATTTGGAACATCGCTCCCCCCCCCCGATCGTGCGTTTCAGAGTGCCTGTTTTTTCATGTCTGTGCCATGTAGGCAGATTAATATGTCAGTCCAAGATTCTGTCAATAGATCGTTTTCCGAGTTTTCCGACGGTGTTTGTCGACTTCGCTCCGGCGAATCCTGTGATGACGAACGAACAATAACGAACACATATGTTCAGTTGGTCGGTTGAGCGACTCGACCGTTCTGATGCCACGTACGTCTGCGCATTTTGGGATGCAACCGTTTTTGGGGTTTGTTGAACTTTCTAAAGCAGGAGACAGATCTAGATGGACATATGGATTTGGCGGAATCTACCGAAGGGGCCTCAGTACTGAAGATCCACGAAAGTTAGCAAGATCCCTGGCAAACATGTGAGGATTCCCCGAAAGTGTATGGAACACGTTTTGATCCTCACAGCATTCAATTCACATGTTTGAAGACGGCACATGTTTTGACACAGTTCCACTGCCGGTTCCACCCTGATTCCACCTTCCACCTTTCACAGTTTGACCATTGACACGACATCGTGGTCATCGCCAAACATACCAAGGTTGACAGCTTCAAGAACTTCATCCTAAACGTGACGAAGGATGGGCGAACGACGTACGACGGTCGTTTCGTCGAAAACGGGACCGAATGGATGGGGCGAATTCGGGGTATCATGGGATACCGCAAAGCGAGTTCGTTGGGATGTGGCAAGTGCTGATCTGGCAAGTGGATGGAGTGGTGGAGAGAGTCCTCCATGGTATGAATTCAATGCCGAACATGCATCGGTCGGTTTCAAGATTGGCTGTCTTCTTGCACTCATTAACCCTATAAAAGGGTCCAGGACCATCCTGACAACGTCCTTTGGCCCCAGTTCGACTCGAAATGCTTTCACCTTCGTTCGACCATCCGAAGTACGGAGGTACCTGGACCGGTTCAGTGTGGTCTTTTCAGTGCTTTCAGCATGCTTGCCTGGGTCCCATGAAACACTTGCGTTTCGCCTGCTCCCATCCGACGTGCTTGGGCTTCGACCTCGTGCGTTTCGCCTGCTCCGTTCGGCCGGGCCCTTCGCCTTTGGGGGTGTTGAATTTCGGCATTTTGGCACATGAATGCAACTTACTAGTAACGTCCTTTGTTCCTTTGTCTAGTAAAGCCAGGAGCTACTAGTAGCGTCCTTGCTCCTAGTAGCGATGCCCTTTGCTACTATATGGTTGCATAGGGATCCTGTGAGGGTTTAGTGATCCTCGGAGAAGTGGTGCTAAACCCATTTATCACCAGCGACGACACCTAGCTCGGGTGCTCCGGACACTACGAGTGACATGGTGACCTCTATAAAGGCTGGGTCGATGGCATCGATGGTCGGTATACCTATATATACCCATGCGCTCGGGGTTGTTAATGGACAGCCCGAATCAATCTAAGGGGGTATAGACACCCTTAGGGTCCTGGTAGATCTTCCGACGATGCAATTTGTTTTTGGTTTGGGGTTTGGTTTCATGAGAGAAACGGCCGAGATGTTTATAGTTAAGGACCTTCAATATTGCCCTAAGTATCCCGGGACCCTCCCATCGCAGGGGGTCGGGACCCGAACCAAAAGCTCCAAGTGAGCAATGTCATAAACCTCTATGAAATAATTTAGGTAGGACTTAAGATTATGAATCTTTGCGAAAGGAAAACTGCAGTTGGGGAAAGCTTGGCGAAAGGTTTGGAGCAAGGCTCTGAATTTTTGATGAAAGGATTTTGTTGTGAAAGGGTTGGCGAGAGAGGTTTTCAGTACAAGGCATGTCATCCAAAGAACCAGTGGAAAGGTTGGCGAAATGTTCGCGAAGATGTGGCGAAAGCAGTGGTTGCAGATTAGGAATGATTCCCCTTTGCTGATATTTTTCTTAGATGTAAGTAGCAGAAACTCGGCGAAAGGGTTAGCGAAAGAGGTTGTTGGGTGAAGTGGGTCGGCGAAAGCAACACATGCAGCCGCTTGCTGCGTTGCGAAGGGATTGGCGAAAGGTGTTTATAAGCTTGATACGAGTTCCGGATGGTTTTTGGCACCGCTCAAGTGAGAACTCAAAGTCTCAGGGTGGTACACTGCAGTGATGCAGTGTGGTCGGGCTCCAAGCACCTGTTTTGAATTTGATGGCACCGAAGAACCAGTCTCATAAGGCCAAAATCACAACTACAGGTCAACCATAGAGGCTCTATAAGAAGGCCTTTACACTCTATAAGGCCTTTTCACTTCTTATTGATTTGAAGGCTCTGACTACGGGAAATGCTGACCACTTACCCCTCGTTACCCTGCGGTTCTCGGGCGGTTTTGGCGAGCTCGCGCCAGGATCTCTGCGGGGACTACATGTTGCCGGGCAGTGTTAACGTTTGTTTGTTTTGTTTGCACGTGTGTGTTTTTGCGATGGCCTCAGCCTAGTAGCTCAATTCTATGTTACGATTACTGTTATACTATGCATGCAGCAGTGTGCGTGTCTGCACGATTCCAGAGCTCGCGAGACGGACGGGCGCGAGACGGACCGTGTGCTGCGGTGAGACGGACTGCGGGGACCGGTACGGTTTTGGTCTGGATCTGTCACGACACCATCGCAGGAAAGGACGATCGACTCCTGGTTCCGTCGGAAAGGGCTCAATCCGGATCCAGGAGACACCGAACATCAGGTACGGTGAGGACGGAGACACCGCTATGTAGGTGCCAGGAGGGTTCAATCACTTGCTGAGAAGGTACGACTGGATCCCTAGGGAATGTAACAAGTGGTGGATCGTGACTATCCCGGGTATAATGTGTCATATTGGCAGTTCTGGGTGTGCACATTGCCTTGTATATTACTCAACCACCCTCACAATCAGACAACCCCTCGAACACTTACAGCGATCCTTTTCAACATGTCTGGACACAGAGTTTCCATCATCTTCCAGAAACCTACCCTGCAGACCGAACCCAACTCGAATCTGCCTTCGCCGAGAAGTTGGATCTCCATTTGCGTCAGGTTGTCCAACTAAGTCACCCGTCCATCCCAAGTCTTGCTGCAGATTCCGGATGTTTGCGCCGAACTTTGCGGAGCTCGGCTCCCGCCGCGCCGCAGTCAGCGCGCCGCCGTCCGCGCGGCCGTCCGCGCGCGCGGTCCAGCCCAGGCTGTATGGATATCTCCGACAGCGGAACTTCTTGGGCAAGAAGGTTGAGCCCAAACTGCCCCACTTCTTCCACTCCCAAGCCCATATCAAGTGCCTCGGACCGACCAACCGGCTTCGGACCGACCTGGTTCGGACCGCGGTCTCGGTGGACCCAAGGAATGTTCGGATTTGATTGAGCCAATGAGTTCGAAGAGCAAAGGGCGTAGATAAGGTTTGAACATGGAACCCTGTGACCTTCATGATCATTGATAGCATTGACGTTTTTCTGCCCACCAATGGTTCCGCCAGCGTTTACCGCACAGTGGCAGCTCCGGAAGATCTTCCCCAGGGGCTGCCCCCCCCCAGTGCGAGAAAAAAGACGGCTCACAGGAGCAAGTCTGGATCCCCTACGAGTCATGGAGTCCAACCCCTTGAACCAGCACCATCCTATCAGGACACCCGAATAGTCGATCCCGAATAGTCTTGAAGAGTCGTGATTGATCGGCCCAGTCGGATGGTGGCAAAAACGAGCTCCATAAGGTCCCAAGAGCCCATCTCAGTGCACAGACCCTGACATCTGTTCGCACCATCCAGATCACCTAACCACCGAGTTCGCTCGGTACGAACGGGTCGACTCCAGGTGAGCCAACCCCTTCGTTTCTGCGTTGGAACCGTCCCACGGAACCACACGGTCCCACGGTCCCCACGGTGTCTCCGCTAAAGCCCCGAAGCTCCGCTGTTTTCGGCCGAGGTTCGGAAAAGATTTGCTGGCCTCTTGGCGTCTGGATATGGTGCAGGTCTGGTGCAGTCTCCAGGTCAGTCTATACCTGGTCCTGGACACCTGATGTTTCGTGTTGGAACTTCGCAAAATGAGGTTTTTCACTGACCTGGACTCGCAACAGTCGAGGTCAGTTCCTGACCTCTAGGGTGGATTAAAAGACTCAAAGGAAGAGGTTTGTCAAAGGATTACGGCTAAGGCTGTGAGTCTCTGAGGTGATCCAGGGATCTGGCGTCACCTGAGACCACCGGTCTCGACCAGAAGCCGAAGACGCCAATCATCGGAGCGCCGTCTGGAGCCGAAAGGGGACCCTGGAAAAGTGATGGAATTCCGGACCAACCTAGCGCTTCCCATGGGT